CCGGGGCCACCGGCCCCAGACTAACTATCTGTCATTTCTCACAGGCCGCTCGACACTTCGGCCTGGTAATCCCTCCATTATTGACGAGTATAGGTAGCCAAGTTGGCATAACGCCTTCATAGGTTGCTGACGTTGCGTGCTTTGATGGTGCGTCGGGCTGTTTCCCCGGCCTTTTCTGTGCGTTTGTGATAATGCCGTCGGTTGCCGCCAGCTTCTCACAACTCTTCTAGGTGGCCGTGGCGCATCCCAAGAGTAATCGCATCGGATTGAAGACGAAGCAGCCGGGACTCTGTAGCCACGAGCACTATTACTTCAACAGTTCCATACTTAACTACGCCTGGCGACAACAGCTGCTCAAACATCTGTTTCCGCCTTTCCAATGCATGGCATCCCGTTCGGCGGCGCACCGCACAACTTGAACTCTCTAGGTGGCCTTGCTTGGTAAATCTAACTTGAGAGCTATTGAAAATAATGCACGCGTGTCGGGTGTGGAGGTCTCTCTCTGCATTCCGATCGTGTTTGATCTGTTCTTGCTGGGCGAGAGAAGAAAAAACAGACTGAGAAAGACAAAGACCAATCTCGTCTGGACACAAATGGACACACACACCTGCCTTCAAGGGATGGAGACAAGCTTCCGTGACCACAGGCCATGGCCAAAGAATGGACACACAGACGACCGGAGGGCGTTCATTCATAGTCGGGTTTTACCGTCGAACAGTTCAGGTCCCACCGAAAACCCTGGAGGCGTGAGAAGTCCTTCTTCACAAGTCGAATCTATGAGATAAACCCTGCGCGCATCTAACAAGGTACTCCCGCCTTGTTCTCAAACTCATATCCAGACGACCACGAAATGTCGATGATGCCTGTAGGACCAACGGAAGAAAACAAACACCAATCGACGCAGAAACTATGTGTTTCCTTCTCTCCCGACCCTCCCCGTTCTACGGCCCCTCCGTAGCCACTCGGTGGACCTCGTGTGGGTCTGCTACCGTCATGTTGGCTTCTATACCATGCCCATGCACCTCTTCGCCCCTAGTAGAACGTGCCGCAACACCCGGTCCTCCCTGAACGGCGTGCCTATCCAGACCAGCATGTCGACTTCGGGCGACCACTGATCGGTGCGCGTCGAGCGTGCAACGGCTCTAATGATGTTGAAACATGCATATAATGAACGCACCAAAGCGTCAGACCCATTGTGGAAATCAGCTCAACGTATGACACGCAAAACGTTGTCGAAAAATGCCTCTCGAGGGCCCCGGAGCCGTAGACTGGGTGAAACGTCTTAGCACTCGACGCTAGACCCAATCGATATTCCCGGCGAGGGTGCAGCCTTTTCCGGCCTTTGATGAAGAGACATCCTGGGTCTTACAAGGCTTGTACAGCAATATATACACATGAAAGGCCTGCGGGGGTGTTTCCGAGGCGTTGGTCGACTCCGACCACGGGGTAGTCGCTGCATGACACCCAGAATGAGGATGCTGCTAATAATACTGGACATTGACTAAGAAAGGAAGTGCGTCCATTCCCACAACATTTGTGGTGTGTCGAATTTCACCGGAACACATGTCCCAACCCAGAGGTCTCCCATGCACTCCATATACATCCATGAACACAACCCTGTGCCACACCCACAAGCCTGCCCGTACTATGATGCCAGCTCTGTAACCTAACTGTTGATCTTCTCTTCTCGCTGGTTTCCTGGCGTTTCGCTCGTGCTGACTTTCTCAGAGGCCAAGTTTCCGTACCGGTGGTGTCGACGTGCAGAGTACATCCCTTTCAGGATGGGTGTGAAGGTGTCCAAGTACGCTGATGCGCAATGCTCTGCGCCTGGCTGTAGCGCGGTCTGCTGCGACTCCCGCAGGCATCGTGTTCGGCAGCCGCACAAGTCACGCGTCTGCTGCATCTGTGGTCGGTGGTACTGCGGGGAACATAAGAAGCAGTTTCTGAGAAAGCGGGACAAGGTTGAAGGAATGCAAACCTACGAGGTGTACAAGTGCTATGGTTGTGTCGGAAAATCGCGCGATAGCTCCGACAGGCGCTCCTGACGTGCCATATTCCACTCATGAGGCACGCTTCTCATGTGAAAGGCAGGAGATGTTGTTGGATCCTTCGTGCCGGTACACACGACATGGTGAAAAGGCCAATCAATGCTGAGAACACGGCGTGATACGTGTTGCAGAAGTGAGATATTTCTACCGCATCTTCCCCCCCTTGAACCCTCGGTTGTTCACGGTGTGCTGCCTGCATCAACCTAAGTTGTAGGCTTCCTCGTATTGAGAATGCCATGCCTTGTTCGCAGTCAAGGGCAGGAAGTCGATTGTGGCGTCTCAAATATGAGAATGAAGGGGAAGGGGTAATGGTGTGGTACGTATGGCCGAGGGGGGAGGTGACCCAACGCTAGTGATAAGTAGAGCGTTCTTCTGGGCTGATTGAGCGATTCTCCATTTTGCCCCCAAATGGTCTTGCTTGCCGTGAGTGTGGATGTGTATACCATTCCTCGTACAGAAGTTCAAAATACTTGGTTGGAAAATGCTGGAACCCGGTCATGCAACAACCAGCCGCGCCGCGTACAAAGTTGAGCAGTTCGATATTGGGGGAGGCGAGTGGAGGTGGGGGGCTAGGAGAGTGCCAGAGCTGGAATAATTAGTTTACCTTGGTAGATGATATGGAGTGGAAACTAAACGCCGGGATCAGACATTAAGGCCCAGGCACACATGTGTGCCCACTTACAAGGCGGAAACAAATGATGGGACGAATGCGGCAGTATATTGCATTGACTGAATTTTCAAAGAGGCTTTTAAAATCGACATATGCTCCGATTTCAAAATTGTTTTTGATTTGTGACCGCACACGCTCGGGGCACACGCGTGCAAGTGTCAGCATCAGAAATGAAAATGGTGGCGACTGTAGCTAAATGAAGTTCAATATCAGGATCATCACGGATTGATTTTTTGTCTGAACGTGTGGTTGAGCTAGGCCAGGCGTACACTTGGATACTTTGTTATTGGCGAACAGACATTTTGGGGCCGAGATACGCAGCGAAACGCGTACGCGCAGCAGACAAGTTTATTTTCGAGTCATTTTCCCGCGAAGTTCACCCCCTATCCCCCCCAAAATACTTTTTGCCCGATGGGAGGGGGGGTAGTACTGACAAAGTCTTATTTGGAGGGGTGGGGGGAAGGCGGGAAAGTGAAATTTCTGCGGGGGGTGTTATATTGTGCAAATTTGAGGGGGGTGTTATCTCACGTGCAGGTTTCAGGTCGTTTGAAAAAGCAATATCGCAGAGACGCCCCGAAAATAAACTACTGGCTCACAAGAAGCTATCTGTGTGTCATGGGAGGGGAATGCCGTCGATTCTAACTGCTGCCGTGGCGCGTGCTTCGATCCTGTGAACGATTTGCGCATCGGTCATCTCCTTCCCTTTCCACTCAAGCAGGCCTTCTAGGTCGTCCACATGCACGTCCGAATTTATAGCTTCTCTGGACAACGACGCCGTCATACCCTTTTTCTTCCTCAGGTTGTCACTTGTACGCAGTAGCGAGGAGGAGTTTGCCGGGGGGCAAACCGTTACGTCAATCGGCTAATACGCTCTGTGTCGGCGGTGAATACGCGGACAAGATCTTACAACCGAAACAACTCCGACAGAGTGTATCTCCCCTGCGTCGCCTGTACCTTGCGTGTGGTGTATCACGTACGAAAAGGGCAAGTGCATAGAAGTGATACGCGCTCTCGAAACACGAACCTGTCCAAGTTCGTATGTGCTGCAGGACATATGTAATTCCGTACGAGATTATCTGTGACTATACTTGTTGTGTTGGCAGAGAGTAGGAGATCAAAAACACGGTCGGCTTGAGCATGGACAAAACAAACACCAACCACAGCAGCAGCAGCCGACTACCCAGCTACCCAGAGCAAATACCGGGTAGATCCTTCCCGCTCCACGCGTTGTTTAGTCCTGCGAAAATGGGGTCGGCAGCCTCCTGCTTCTTATCCTCCCCGCCGCACCCAACACGTGGACCGAGACCTTGGTTATTGAGTCCCGCCTGGCGCCAAAGACAGCAGACAGCAGGATTGCTGTGGGGCTCCTCGTCTACCTGTTGCTCGTGCTGTCGCGGGCAATGACATGTTCAAACCTTCGATGCACAGCGATGACTGGCACATGCGGAGGCACCGCCGCGAGCTCGTGGGCGTCGCTTTCGTGGGCTTCACGATTAGAGTTCTTATTTCTTGAATTTTTTAGCCGCAAAATAAACCACACCTAAAACATCTCTGTCCGAAATATAAGCACTTGGCAAATTAGCACACGTGCTGGGGTTTGGGCGGCCAATAAGCCTCGACGGCGTAAAATAGGTTCTGAAGTGGTGGCGCCATCTGTAACGATTGCCCCCCCGCCCCCTCAGATCTAAGGGGGCGTCGTTTCACATACGTATGCGTATGTACGTGAATCGTAAATTACTCTTTTCAACTGTGCAAAAAGACGTGGTTGGGTGACCCGAAAGATCAAGTGCGAATTCCAGCGGACACGCATATTGATAAAAGATGCACTTGTGTTTACCTCCCTGGCCATGACAGCTCCCCTTCCTTGACACAAACGAAACTACCGAAATACGGGTACGCTCAACGGGTCAAACATGCGATAAAACTCTGCTGTGCGTGTTAGAAAGAAATCTAGGCAACGCACCCCCCCCCTTCTCCGTCTTATCTCCACGAGGTATTCTGGTGGTGCACGGCGCAAACTCTCTCTTTTTCCTGCCAAATGACGTGCCCACATATTACCGGTTGGTTGGATTCGGGGACTACTTTGCGAGTGCCGAGATCCCTTTCTCTCTACCGCTTGATATCTGACAACATGATCTTGCGTTGCCATACCAAACGCTGCAACACTCCAACCCGTCCACAACGGCGAAAGAGCTATTCCTGTAACCTCAGGAGCAAAGCGCGAATCGAAAGCCCTGAACTGCCGACACCTCGTTTACTACCTGTTCAAGGAAGCACGGGGTCTACGCACTGGCCTCACCCCCTTGTTTAATTCCAGCGCGCTCCTCACCCCCGTGTTCGTTTCCAGCGCCCACCCCCTCTTTTCGTTTGAAGCACAAGATCTCGTAGTGTTTGGCAATTAAAACAAACTCCGCCCCCGAGAGAAAGATGCCAAGGCCCAGAAACACCCCCCAAATACGAGAGTCGCCATCGTCCTTCCCAGCGAACACCCCAAAGATAGCGAAGCAGGCCAAAGTGGCTGCGGCTACCCACGCCTTCAGGTCCCGGTACAATGGCGTCTGCGAGTCGTGTTGGTAAAAAAATGCCAGTTTGTGACATAACGGACCCTGATTGTCACCATATTTTCAACGTGTTTCCGACAGGAACGTCAACCGATTCGAGCTACGAAGTACAACACATATATCTAGGTTGGGAGAGTAGACCGAGAGACAACACGCCATGTCGGGATTCAACGAGAAAACTTGCGGTCGAAGCTGATATAATATGGAAACCATGGGATAGTACGCTATATACCAACGCAGCTTGGATGGAAACATATCAAAAATTAGACCATATCGGTCATTTTGTGGCGCATTTCTGCCAGAAGCAGATCGCAACTTGACAACTGCTTGTACCGTATGCGGTGTGACAACGTTGAACGTACCTGGCGGTCTGGACTGCCGTGGTTGGGTGCCTGAACCTGTGCAAAAAACAGTGAGGTTTCGTGATCAGTCTTACATTTTCAAGCATGTAGGTCGAGCCATCATATGATGGTTTAGACAAAGGCTGGTGTCCATGGGAATATGGCATTTTTGTGCGGCACATGGCTTGTACATGGAAGCAAATGTGGTAGAAGAACCCACCTCCAACACCAGTGCCGGCCAGAGCGCACGACCCTGACGAGCCACCCTCTTGGCATTATCGGCAAACTGCTCACGGAGCTGTGCATCAGAGAACTCCGTGTCTGAGTACTCCACCACCTGTAGAGCAACTCCCAGAAGGTCGTTGCCCGCCGTGCGGTCCGGGCAGAGGGGACAAAAGTGGCCCTGCTCGACCAGACGGGATCCAGGCCGTGCCTGCCAAAAAAGAGAGCGCGCGCGGGCGTGTGAAAATGAAGTGGCACTGCTCAGAGTGTGTTCCGTTGCCCTAAAAACCACTGGTCCATAACGTGAAAAACATAAAACAAAATGCATGACATTCCATAACACGTCGCGATCGTGCTGTTTTAGCCTGCATAAAGCGTTGTTGAAGTGTGTGATGTGTTTAAATAATGGAACTGGGACCATCGAACGAATCAAACTCCTTTGACACAGAGGAATGGGGCGCTTACATTGGCCTTCAAGACGCACATGCCCTTGTCCTCGTGCCGAGGGCAGATAAACTCCAGCTGGCACGGTAAACCAGGGAACTCCGAGAGCATCTTGATCGTCACGGAGAGTACTTTCGCCAGAGTCGCCCACGCATGGACCTCGTCACATCGTCCGTTCACCTCCACTTTCAGGGTCTTGTCATCCTCGGAGTGCTCCAAAGTCAGTGAGAACTTGCCTTCTTCCGCACCGTCACCCACTACGAGAGCACCGTATCGCCAGAAGGGGTGCGGAAAGCCCAATTGGCAGCACCGTGCAAGGAGACGCTCAACGAAGCCGGGGGGCAACCCTAGCCTGAACGAGCATTGCACAACTAGCCTGAGGTCGTAATATTTCCTCGCTTGTTCTTCCTCGACCTTCACATCATAGTCAGGTGGGGGATTTGTGTCCATGCGCAAGACAACCACCAAGACCTCAAAGGGGTCGTTCGGAATTGGAAACGTTAGCCCAGCACTATTCAAAGCGAGTCGCGGCTCGAAAATATGATATGTGTGCAGCCGTTTCAAGCTATCATCGTCCGTCACCGTCACCGTTTTGCCACCGAGATGAATGATGCCATTTGAATCTAACTTGTGACTGAACAACAGGTCCAGAACATCTGCAAACCATCCCACGTCAAGGAAGATGTAGTTGCCATACTCCACCAGTCCTCCCTCCCACTTCCTGTGAATGGGCACAAAGCCGGGCCCGACACCGAAAGGGGAGCAATGCAGAGTTCAACTACTAGCTGGGACGATTCTCCTAGCCGTGTCCGCGTGAACCTCTTCACTTCCGATGTGCTGCAATTGTTTACATTCAAAACACGACATCTACACAGCCAGATCATACACATCCAAGGTTTTGGATATCTGGTATTCCCGAGGCATCAAGCCAGCCCAAAACCAGTCACGCCGAGATCGAATTTACCTGATCAAGATTGCACCAGACATGGCCGCTTCTGAGGCTGCTACCTTCGTTCCAGCTGCGTCCAGCGCATCTACCCTGACTTTCCACTCCTCCTCCAAACTCGCTCTTGTCATGACTCGGGTTTGCTGTCCGGCCTCGGACCTACAAAGCCCCACGAGTGCACATTCACGAGTACGTGAAACAGTTATGATCCACCCGCGACGACAACATGGAACACAATCAAAAAAGGATAAATCGTTGCGCAACGATTTGATCATATGTCGATCAACGCTGTGCGTCATCCACAAATGTTTGAGTGGGAAACAAGCAAGGCTTTACACAATGTGTTACATATGTACCATTGCGTGGGAAGAGTACTTCACACAACAAAAAGTTAAAACACAGACATGAATCGACGATCTCACCTGCTGCATGACAGCTCCCCAAGCAACTTCAGGGCGAGCACATAGCCCGGCGGAAGACGCATCGTAACAGCCCTCGTGTCATCGACAGGGTTGTATATGATGCGACGTAAAAGACCCCGTTGCCCCGGCTTACTCTTGTCGGGCCAGGCTTTTCTCCCACCGAACGATGGTGCCCAGCCGGCTCAGCCAGACGGCGCACAGCTCACAAGACTGACGCCGGCTTCCAACGAAAGTTGTGGGGGTTGATGCCCGTGCGCACTCTCTATCCAGGCAGTCAGCCACTCGCGGCTCACTCGTTCTACGTCAACCGCTACATGTTGTTTGGCCTCTGCCACGAGGTCCCACTTGTTCCCCACAAGTACAACGTTTGCGTCCGGCACTCGGAAAGTCATTTGCCTCAGCCAGGGAGCAATGGCGAGATCTTCAAGGTTCAACACGTCCATCTGGCTGGCTTTCTTCGCATCCCAAACCAAAAGGTACACAGCACGAGGGGTGAGAAACAGCTGGAGCAGTCCGTAGTAGGCAGCCTGTCCAGCCGTCGAAATGTAGGAGCATGGGCACGTGGAGAGGTTCAAATGAATGGAAACGTAGAGTCGAATGCTGTGGGGAAGGTAAGGATGCATTGGTTGGAGGGCGTTCCCCTGAAGAACATGGTTTAACAGCGCTTACTCGCAATACTAGCAAAACAACGAAATCGCCTCCACACTTCAACAAATAAAGCTGCACAACATGGTCCTTTTCACCACTGGTGAGCAAGACAATTCTGCAAAACCGATTGTGCGCGTACGATGAAAACTGGAGAACCAAACAAGTGGTACCTTCGTACCTTGTCTTGCCCACAGTCTCCTTTCCAAGGATGACCACCTTGAGCGGTCGGGTCACTGCGGTAGTTCCGCCCTTGTAGATAGCTTCGAAGTACTGTCTCACCGCCCGCATACCACCCGTCACGAATGCCTCGGGAGGGTGCTCCCACGGGTTTGGGGAAAGCAACAACCCTCCAATGCCATCAAGCCTGTCAAAATTATCCAGAAGAGAGGCTAATGCCACCGGAAGGGTACCTGGAACGCACGACATCGGGTTGGGCGGAAACGTGCAACATCGCGCGGTCAACGGCCGATATGGGTGTGCGTGTATCCACACGACTCACGCCTCGTATGTCCACATTGCACGTTTTCAGTTGCGGAGGAGCTGTAACGTCTCGCCGACTGACAACCCAAAACATCTTCCGAGTCAGGCAGGAAGAGCCTCTCTTGAATTCGTGGATTTGAATTCGTGGATTTGAGGTGTCAACAACGTGTACCACACACACACGAGAAAACACAGCGCGCTTGACCCTGGTGTGGCACTATGCAACAGATAGAAAAGGGAAGATTGGGGCAGGCCGCCTGTGAACAGCATGTAAAGCGAGCTGCGAAAGCTTCGAAGTTATCTCCGGATCATCTGAAACGATTTCTGCACGCGCTGAGAAGAGACACACGGGCATGAGTGTATACAACAAACAACGGGGGCCTTTGAGCGAGTCCATTTTTGTAACCTGATCTCCCGACCTCTCAAGGATGATACTATCGACTGTGAAACACGCGAAAAATGGGTGCACCGTAGCATCATCTTTACATAAGTCCCATCATATTCTACACGCCCGGAATCGTCGTGGAGCAAGCAACTCATCCACCCCCACCTGCCCGGGCTGCCACTGACCCAGCCTCTTCCTGCCCAAGGATGTCCCAAAGTCCTGCGTGGACACGGGCGTGATCGGCGTCTTTATACCACTAGAAAAACTCGACAGCAGCAAACGAAGTGAAGCTCTTCCGAAATTTAAACAAACTTTAACCATGCACATTCCCAAAATGATCTGTTGCCAAAATCCTGGCATCGTTAGGGGAGCTCGGCAACCTGTAACTACTCTACGGTATCACAACAAGCTCAGCGGCGAGTCTCTGACAAAGCTGGTGTGCATATCTCACGAACGACAAGTACTCTCAAAAATGATATATTATGCATGCATTTTTCGTAGGCTATTGTGACATGTGTCCCGCCAACGTGAGTGAGTAGGTGCTTTTCTACAAGCCGGTTGTATTTTACTCCCCGCCCCAATCGTTTTTGCACTTTCGCTGCAGGCCGCATCCCGCCGGAGCTGGGAAACCGTGCAGAACTGCAGCTCCTTCGCTTTGGAGGCAACCAGAAGAGCGGTAAGTCGCTTCGTTTACGTGGAAAAATACTTCCCGTATCCATTTTTAGGATTAATCTCGTGTATGCGTAGGTGAGTAGCCTTCTAGAAACCGGGACATATTTTTCGTCGCACACTCAATCCTTATTTTCTTCCGCTTGCAGGCCCCATCCCGCCGGAGCTGGGAAATCTCGCAGAACTACAGTCCCTCGTCCTTGCAAGAAACCATCTGAGCGGTGAGTGTTGTACAAGTTTCAGGATTAACCCCGCGTAGGCGTGGGTGAATAGGTGTGTTATAGAAACGGGGAGATATTTATTAATATCCCGCTGACTTCGATGTAGGTGTCGCGGGGCACGTAGGTGTAGACAGGTGAAGACGCACGTTCTCCTTTGGAGCGGGAGAGTTCTCGAGCAGCGGCTCCTATGCGCATGTTGCGGTACAGACGGTTTTGTTGGCTGTGCTGATCCGGTGTGCCACACCAGTAGCGAAGGATGTGGTGACGCGAGTGTTGTAGGTCGATTTCTCGTTCCCAGGAGGGTCGAAGCAGGCCTTTCCAGTGTGTTTGGTAGAGAGCGGCGAGTACGCCGCCGCGTCCGCGGACAGTTTGGTGGCCTGTGATTTTCTCTACTTCAAGGCGTTGAAGGGGCGTGGAGACGTCATCCGCGGTGACGTGGTACGGAGGGGATTTGTTGGTGTAATTGTTGAGGACGTATCTTATATGGCCAGCAGGCAGGAAGCGGGATATGTCAGTGTCGTGGGCGTGGTGGCACGGCTTGCAGCGTATTACTGAGACGCGGTTTTTGGCGTCGGCGCCGGGCATGTCGTTGGGCAGGTCCAAGTAGAGGACTTTGTCGGCGATCGGACGCCCATCTGGTGCTTTGTCGCTGGGGCCTACGGCAAGAATTCTGAAGGGCCCAGTCCAGTTTAAGGAGAGCTTGGCTTTGAGAACCTGCGAGTCCGAGGCGGAGGCAGAGGCGATGGTGGAAGCTCCTTGGCGAATTGTCGATACCTGATTGTAGACCCAGACCCAGTGTCCTGTCTTGTAGACGGGTCGTCGGTGAAGTGCATCCGATAGTGACGAATTCCTGCGCTCGATTTTGTCGACGTTGAGCGCGTGTTGCTCTCGAACGAGGTCGTAAGCGCGACGTTGTCTGTCCACAGCGAGGTTGTGGTATTCAAGTTGATCCTTAGCCGGGCTTTGGTGTCCGCGAGCGCAGATGTTGTCGAAAACGGTCATGGGGAAGCGGGCGAGTCGGCCGATGTGAACTTGGTTGGGTGCTAGCCCTGTGGCGGCGCTCACGGTGTTGTTGTAGGCAAATTCCACATGCGGGAGGTGTAGATCCCAGTCATCTTGCCTCTCATTGACGGATACAGCTAGCATTTGAGCCATTGTGTGGTTGACGCGTTCCACGCCGCCGTTGCCGCAAGGGTGATAGGCGCTGGTGGTGATTATGCGTACGCGGAGAAGTTTGAAGATGGCGTCAGAAAGCTGCGAGGTGAAGTGGAGACGATTGTCGGAAAGAAGGCTCACCGGACATCCCCAGAGTGGAATGTATTGATTGACGAAGATATTGGCGGTCCCTTCGGCCGTGTATTTCGCAGGGGAGACTGCGTACATGTCGGCGCGCCTGCTAAAGCGGTCGGCGAAGAGTAAGATGTAGGCGTTCCCGCGTGGAGTAGTAAGGAGCGGTCCAAAGTAGTCCACGCTGACGGCCACACCTGGCCCTGATGGCAGGGGAATGGTGAGGATGGGCCACCGTATAGTTTGTCGTGCTGATTTGCGGCCTTGGCATGTGTAGCATTGTCGCGTCCAGAAGCGGGCGCAAGAGCTCATGCCAACCCACCAGTAGAGTTGTTCCAGAAGGCTGATGGTTTTGGCGGTGCCAAGGTGGCACAGAGTGTTGGAGTGGCATTGAAGCATTACCTAAGGACGCATGTGTACTGGCACATAGATGCGCGTGGGTTCATTGTCGAGAAGGCGAGCAGCTCTACCGCTAGGACGACCGTTGTCGGAGTTTGGCGATTTGGTAAATTGTCGAACCAAGAGCGGATTGCCGTCGTCATCGGTGATGATGCGACCTTTGGTGGCCAATTCCTTGATGTTGGTGAGGGAAGGACGCAAGTGTTCTGGGGTGTCGCCGTAAAAGTCTGTGGGCAATGCCAAAGGTTGCCCAAGTTGCATGTAGCGAATGGCGGAGTTGCAAGTGACGTCCTTTTGTTGTTCCTCATGCCAGTCGGCGTGTGTGAAGCGCGCTACAGAGTCCATGAAGGATATCTCAGCCGGAGAAGGTAGTGGCGCTGGAAGTGACGAAGAAGCTGAAGTGGAGGGGGTCCCTGTGGATGGTGTGTCTGCAGATTCCGGCAGAGGTTCTGTGGGAGGTTCTGAGGGAGCAGTGTTATCTGCGGTTGGTACGGTGGGTACAAGTTCAGCGGTGGTCTGCGCAGGTGGCGTAGAAGAGTTTGTGTGCGGCCTGCGTGGCGGTGCAGCCGGTGCTGGTGCCGCAGTGGCGGAAATGTCTGGGCTGAAGCGGTAAGTTACTTGAGGCAGAGGATTCTCCGATGTTGCAGCTGAGCGGCGTCGAGTGCGGGTGGATATCAAATCTGATGGATCCAAAGAACGCGGGCGCAACCGAGAAGGAGAGAGGGGCCGCTGAAGTGCAGGTGCTTCCAGGATGTCTGACCTGGAGCGAGCTGCAGTTGCAGGGGGCATTGTCGAACTGGCAGGTTGTGCCGGAGATTGAGCGGCAGACTGTAGTGTGCCGGGATGGTGTTGAAGATTTGAGGACGGGGGACGTACTGTGGTAGGGTCCTTGCTATGTTGGTCCAAATGTCGAGGCAAAGCCGATTGATGCACTGTGTTGATGTCGCGCAACGCAGGAGAGTGGCGAGAGCGGAGACGTGAATTGTTGTTGGAGACTGACAGAAAAGCACGAGCTGCGAATACTCCTGGAGGAGCGGCGAGGTCGTCAATGCTCATTCGGAGCCCGTGCCGGCGAAAATCCTGGAAATCCGCTGGTGTCAGTGGGGAGCCACTCAAAGTGTCGGTGCCGTTGTTGGGTACTAGACCACCCAAAGCACTAACCTGTGGAGAAGGACCAGAAGGAGTGTTGTCGGTGGCGCGAATCATGTAGACACCCACATCATCTGGCATGGTGATGCGGCTATCTCCTGTGATGTCCTGCGGAGTGGCGGGTATGGGTAGTCTAGACAGCATGTCGGCGTTGCTGTTGGAGGAGCCCGGGCGGTGTTTGAGCGTGTATTGATACGCTGTGAGGAACTCAAGCCAACGCTGCACGCGTGGGCTGTGGTCTCCCACCTTGGAGATGTTCTCCAGTGCCTGATTGTCGGTCCAAATTTGGAAGTGTGTGCCGCGCAAGTATCCACGCAAGCGTTTGATGGCCCAAACGATGGCGCCAGCTTCCAAGTCGAGTGGTGTCCAGTTGCGCTCAGCGTCAAGTGTCGATTTGCTGATGAAGACGATGAGGCGAACAGAGCCATCCGCTTGTTCTTGTTCTAGTGTCGCGCCCAGACCATCGAGGCTTGCGTCGCAGTGGAGGCGGAGAGGTCTGGTGCCGTCTTCGATGGCCTTCCAGTCGGGGAAGACGAGGATTGGCGGTTCGGAGAGTTCTTTAAGGATTTCTCGGACGATGGCTTCCATGTCGGCGGTGAAGGTGAAGGACGAGTTTTTCTTGAGAAGCGTCGTGACGGGGCGTACTCGTTTAGACAGGTTTTCGACGAAGCTGCGGTAGTAGCTCAGACCACCGAGAAGGGAGGGAAGTTTGTTGAGGTCGGTTGGCATTGGCGTAGCTGCGAGGGCAGCGACTTTGTTGGCGTTGGGCCTGATGCCGTCGGGGGTAATGATGTGTCCCAAGAATGCAGAGTGTGTCGTGCCGATGGTTGCCTTGGGAGGTGAAAGCTTAAGCTTGTGCTTACGCAGCCGTTGCAAGAAGGCGCGCATGGTGCGGATGTGATCCGCCGGTGTTTGGTCGTAGAGCACCACATCGTCAAGGTACGCGTCGACGCCTTCGAGGTTTTTTTATGACCTCATTGATGACCTTCATCCACCAGCCTGAAGATTGGCTGGCACCCATCGGCATTTTGAGCCACTCGAAAAGGCGAGTCGGTGTGGCGAACGCAGTGAGCGGAATTGTGTCGGGGTGCACGGGAATTTGGTGGCAGGAGCCCGTGAAGTCGAAGAGCGAGAAGATGGAGCCCTGGTGCAGTTTGTTCATGATCTCATCCACACGAGGAACAGGTAATTGACTGAAGCTGCTGATGTGGTTGAGTTTCTGGTAATTGACGGTGATGCGAAGCCCACCAGATTTCTTGGGAATGACGACGATGGGGCTGCAGTACGGAGAAGTGGAGTGTTGGATTAAACCTGCTGCGAGGTATTTGTCCAAAATGGCGTCCACGTGTTTGGCGACCAGAGGGTTCATGCGGTAAGGCTTGGTTCGCACCGGTGGGGTGCCGTCCGGAATGTTGATTTTGAACGGTAGCAGCGGGCAGCAGCCCAGGTCCGTTGGTGAAGTGAAGAAGACGTCCCGGAAGTTGTGTAAGACATCAGTGAGCTCATCGATGACGGCAGGCGTCCAGCCTTCGCCGTGTAGATTGAACGTAATGGCTCGCATGTGCGGTGGTAGGTGGTCCCAAAGGGATAAGAAGCTTTTCTGTTGAGCGGCATCTAAGCGGTCCAGAAGCTCCTGTGGAGGAAGTGTCGGTGGAGACGGATTGTTGGGAGGGGGAGGGGAGTGCTGTGCAGGTCCCCCGTTATTGCCGGTAGATACGTTGCCGATGAAGGGATCATCACAGTGTGCCGCATCGGCAGAGTGTGTTGGCCCTGGCACTTGGAAGTGCATTGACTGTTGCCTGTCGCTAAATTGTTGAATAGTGTCGATAGATACACGCATGAGGGGCGACTGCTGTACCTAATATGTCGCCCGGTTCAAGCTCTGCGCATCCTGCGAGAGGTAGAAATTGGCGGCCGTGAGAGACGAAGAGTTCGTCTGAAGGAGACAAATCTGCAATAAGTGTCTACTATGTAGTGTCCTTCCAGAGCAGGATATCCATTGGCGCGGACGAGGTTGACTTCGACCAATTGGTGATTTGACGAGAGAGAGATTCCAGATTTTCCAGCGTATTTGAGGTGGAATCTTCCTGGAGCTGCAGAGGGATCTGGAATGTAGGCTGAGGCGCCGCAGGCTTGTTGGTGGGAAAAAGCATATTCTCCCAGCACGCGTTGTGCTGGAGAAGGCGTAGGTAGCACGGTGTAGGTGCGGTTGGTATAGCGTATGAAGCTGTCGCGTCCTAGTAGAAGTGGCTGTCGCATGGTGTTGGCTGGAACTACATGAGCCCAGACGGCAAGTGAAGCAGTGGGTTGGTCCTTGTGATAAAATTGAACACTGAGACGTACCATCTGATTAGTGACGAGTGGTTGAGCGCTACCGAATCCTCCCCAAGAGCGAGTGTTGTTAGTGGCGATGCAGTCGTGTGTCGCGCATCCTGTGGCTCGCATGGTGCCGAGAGCATTGCTGTTGATGAACGTGGCTGGAGAGCCGGAGTCCAGGAGAGCGCCGCAGCGGTAACCTGAAGTTGCGGAACCTGAGTGCATGCGCACTTTGGTGGATTGTGAAGCGTCGTCAACGGTTACAATACCGTCAACGAGACCTGGTCCATGTTCAGCAAGTACTTTGGGGTGATTGTCGACGTGGAAATTGGCGGCCGCAATGTAGAGAATGTCGTCGTCGTAGTCGGGAGGCGCATCAGAGGGCCACAGAGCGTTGATACCTGTTGGCTCTGGAGGTGACTCTGAAGTTGGATTGATCGGTTGCTGAGTGTCGGTGTTGATCTCGTGAATGCCGTTATTGTCGAGTGCGGGGTCGGTGGGGTCTTCCAGTGGTGGCATCGGTAGTGGTGCAGAGGAGCGAAGCAAGTCTCTAACCGATTGAAGTGCCTTACCAAGTAAATTTTTGCCTGTCCAGTTGGAGGGGTTGGCTGCCTCGGGGTGATCGGCTCTCATGCCGATGCCCCATGTATTGTCGAAAGGGCTGGCTTCGGCTAGAAGGCTGCTGCCTGTATTGGGAAGATATTGGCGCATGGAAGGATTTTGGGAGAATTTCTCGAAAGTGCCCACAAGCACGATGTATTCTCTCTCACCTTTTCCCATTCCTGTTGCGTGAAGCCACGCACTTGTCGTCCGTAGCGCTTGTGCATTGTTGGGTCTGAAGAAAGCATGATGTTGTGAAGCATGCTTTTGTCGCCGAAGGGTCGTGCCTTGGATGCTGCGAAGAATTGTTCGGCACAGGAGTATTCCACTCCATCGACCGAAAATGTCGAAGGTGTCCATTGAGAAAAAATGGAGGGCGGTTGCCAGAAAAGAATGACGTTATTATTGACGTACTCTCGTGTGGCATCAAAGGCAGTGTCGTGAGGC